AAGGAAAAGGGGGGGGGAAGCATGGTGGGAAAGATAGGCCTCTCTGGTATGAGAGGCGCGGGGCTGGCTGCAGGCAGGTATTCAGCCCAGCCGGGGCTGCATTCCTTTCCAAAGGAGGCCAAGGCATTTCTGATGGGGAGATCAAGATGTTAAAAAATATATATCTGGGAAGAAGGGAGGAAAAAAAATAAAAAAGGAGATAGTAAGGAATGCCACAGGAAAGAAGTTAAATCTTCAAAGATAAATTAATTCCACATGTGGGTGAAAGCTAAGTTATCCTACTACTACTACTACAAAAAAGTTCCTCTAAAAACCATGTGGTCTTCCACTCTGATTTGGGGGGGATGGGGTGGAGGGGGTGCAGTCCAAGTGACCCTTCCTAGGTCCTTGGTGAGTTTTTTGGTCAACTGCGTAAGGATACAGCTCTTACAACTATTTGATCTGAAGCCACCTCAGGTCTTGACAGCGTATCTGAGGACCACGAGGCTCAGGGGTGCAGGGTGCCCCAGGGGTGCAGGGTTCCCCATGGGTGCAGGGTGCTCCAGGGGGGTCAGGGCTGCAGGGTGCCCCAGGGGTGCAGGGTGCTCCAGGGGGGTCAGGGATACATACAGGGTGCTCCAGAAGGCACAGGGGTGCAGGATGCCCCAGGGGTGCAGGATGCCCCAGGGGGTCAGGGGTGTAGGGTGCCCCAGGGCTGCAGGGTGCTCCAGGGGGGTCAGGGATACAGACAGGGTGCTCCAGGAGGCACAGGGGTACAGGGTGCCCCAGGAAGCTCATGGGTGCAGACAGGGTGCTCCAGGGGGGGTCAGGGGTGCAGGGTGCCCCTGGAGGGCCAGGGGTGCAGGGTGCTCAGGAGGGCCAGGGGTGTGGGGTGCCCCAGGAGGCTCAGGGGTGCAGACAAAGTGCTGCAGGAGGCGCAGGATGGGCCCCAGGAGGTGCAGGATGCCCCCCAGCACAGGACCACCACCTTACTGGGAGGTGGCTGCATCATCCCTGGCTGCATTCCGGAGGGCTGATTTGCCATGATTTGCCATGTTCTTCCAGCAGACGGGATTGCTGGAGAGGCTGGGGTAGGGGCGGAGGCAGCGGGTCCGTATGAATACGGCATGGGGAGAGGAGGTGTGTCCAAACACAGCGTTTGGGAAGATATAATTAGAGAAAGCGGCCAGAGCTCACTCATCTTCCCATCAGTACTGGACTGCGAGACCGATTCACCTACCAACACCTCACGGACAAAACAAATCCCCAAAGTTTACATACTTTTAAAGCCAGCCCCCACCGCTCCCACCTCCCACATCCTTTAGGGAAACCAATGGGGGCTGGTTTGCTATGTTTAATTTTTTTTTTTTTTTTTTTTTTTTTTTTTAATTTGACCACCTTACAACAGTAATTGCACCCAGCTGCATCAAGTTGCCTGCAAGGGTTTTAAATTCCAGTGGAAAGCAGAGGTCTCCTTCTCCGCAGATGCTGTGCGCACAAACACCCAGCCTGGCTCCAAACTCAACGTGCAAAGTGTTTTCAGCTGTCAGGTAGCAGTTGCTCTGGAGCTTCAAGGAGAATGTCTGATGGTTCTCCGCCTATTCTTATCTTGATGCCATGACACGCAGCATGTAATTCTCTATATACTGTGTCAGGCAATGGGCATAGCGGAGGTATATTCTACCCCCATGAAAATTTCAGGGGGCTCTTGGTTGTGTCCCCTGTTATGAGGGTGCAATTTCACAGCATGGTGGGGTTTTTTTTTTTATTATTGTCAAACTCAGCTTCTTAGAAATAAAAGCACTTTGGCAGTTCAAACCACAGGTTTATAGAGAGCAGAAAATCTACAAGGAGCGTTTTGAGGCAAAACTGAATCTCATTAAGTATTTTCTTGGGACAAACATCACTGGGCAATCATGGGTTTAAAGATAAAAAAAAAAAAGGAAAAAAAAAAGCATGCGCAAACCTGAAGAAAAAAAAAGTATATTTTAACAAAACTATGTTAATCACAGCTTCCATGCTCTAATTGTAGAACACTGCTTCGAGCATAGCTTTACAATGGCATCATTTACTTTGATAATTGAAGCCAAACTTGGTTCCAATAACTTCACACACAAGGAGCTCCAGCTGCAGGTCCTTTCAAAGGCCAGGAAGCCCTGGGAGCCGGCAGAAGGCCATCTGCAAGCCCCAGCCTCCTCCCAGCGAGGCCAGTCCCACTGATCTTAGAGCTTAATGGGAGGCAGATGAGTCCACCTTGGCCCCAACAAAACCACGCTACGCGGCGGCGCGGCAAAGGAAGAAGCGCCCTCTCTGTGTACACAAACCCGTGCGTGATAAATTTAGAAGCGCGTATAAATAATAGCTGGAATTCCTGGAGCATGGGGCCAGGTCCAGCGCGGGGACGCCAGTTTTAACCACACCACAACCTACAGGGGAGGGGAGTCGCTTTGAAGGACAAGAGGGAGGTTCTACATTTAAAATATTCCCTGTATTAGGGCTCCAAATATACAACCAGCAGTTTGCATGCATGCGCCTGTTTTGCAGCCAGGCGCAACCCCGTGTTTTCGCTTGACTTCTCCTGTTCCTGTCCATCACGGATGCTGGGGCCAAGCAAAGTCTTTCTCAACTTGTACGGTTTCTGCGGTCTCCCGTTTGCTGTGGGTTTGGCCGTGACTCCATGCCCTGGGATTTCCAGGTGGTCTCCCGTCCAAACACCGGGCTGGCCCACGATTGCTCTGCTCCCACCATCAGGTGCGCTCAAGCCCAGCGCTCCCGGCTTTCGCTGCCATAATCACATCGAAACCCACCGAAGCGAATGGCAAGAGCCTGCACAGCACTTCACAACCGTAACGCACGGAGCAGAAATTCTTTAATTCCATCACACACACGAGGTGGGAGGTGTGGTTTGGCCACTCACCAGGAAAGACTTTGTGCAAGCTTCAGCTCCAATCCTAAACGCAATCCTAAACGCTGAGTGATGAGAGATAACCCATCCATATGCTCCTCAGCTTCTAGCACATGCACGCACAAGTGGCTTCACAAACGGATAGCTCGGGGAGGAACCGAGAGGCATCTCAGCTTGACCTCCCTTCTCTTGGCATTGAGATCTCCTGGCCCCATGGAGAGCAAAAGCTCCTGGAAATTCAACAGAAGGTGATCAAAGCAAAATGCACTACCTAACGTCCTAGGAGGGTAGATCTGACATGTTAGGCGCAAGCTGCATTAATCCCTGGACAGAAAAAAAGAAAAGAAAAGGAGGAAAAAAAAAAAAAAAAAAAGACAAGGAAAAAAGACCCAGCACTAATCAGGCAAGCAGCCACTGTTCTGCGAGAGCTCTCCTGGACAAGGCACATGTGGGTTTTTAGCAGGGCCTGCAGCTCTGGTAGAACATTACAGCCAAGCCCTTCCAGCACTGAATACCAACAAAGGCTGAGAGATAAAAGCATCAAACGTCCCCCTCCTGGAAAGCCGGCGAAGGGCAGCAGTTCAAACCAAGTTCTGGAGAACAGCAGATGCTCAGACAGTAACACCCAGGCGCGAGATGAGGATCCCAAACCCCAAGCCCTCCGCAGACCAGCTGCCAGTGGTGCCCCCCGCGCAGCCCCCCCCGGGGGCAGAGGTCCAGGGGCTGGCGCGGGGCCAAGTGCATCCCTCCCGCCGGCACCCACGCCCACCACCCCATCACCCCTCCAAGAGAGGGACGGGACCAAGAGGCCTCTGGATCCACAGCACCCCCGCGGGCGAGAGGACCCTCCCAGAGCTGCCCGGGAAGCCTGGCACAGCTGGAAGCTCTCCACCGGGCAGGAGAGGAGGGCACGCTCCAGCAAAGCCTCCCCGAGAGAAGCCCGACGCCCTTTGATGTCCATGAATCACAGGCACGCTCTCAAAATTCCTGTAAACGAGATGTCAAACACTCACCATACCAAACCCCAGCCTCCTGGGCCAGCAGAGGAGAGCACGCATCTGCCAACAGAGCCCTCTCCCCTCAGCCCTGATTCAACAATCCACATTTATGGCAAGGGTGGGGAGAGGAAAGAATACATTTTCAGAGGATTATACAACTCATCATTTGCTCATCAGTCTCTCTTTCCCATCCCCCCCCCTCCACCCCTTCACTTCGAGGTGGCTCTTACTTTCTTTACCCTCACACCGCCGTGCCATCAACATTTCCAACAAAAGAGAAGGGTTCGGCAACGCAGGCGCACCCCAAGACAAGGGCGCAAGAAGACCCCGCCACCACCACACAACACTCCCCGCATCCTCGTGAGCTGCCGTTAGACACAACCACGCTTTAATGAGTTTAACTTTGAGCACGCGGCCAACAGGAGAGCACCAAGGATCCACAGGAGAGCACCAAGGATCCACAGGAGAGCACCAAGGATCCACTATTACTCTATACCTGGGATGTCCCTATTACCTTCAGTACTCAATTTTAAGTATCCTCCTGTATGCATTGGCTCAAAGCCACCCTAAATGGCTTTGACACGATACCAACACCCAACGCGATGGGAGAGGCTGTAGATCTCACACACACACACACACAGAGTCAAAATAAAAGCAGATTTTGTGTGAGTTGCAGAGTTTGATGTAGTAAGTGCATACATTTCCTCCTCCATGACCACACAATTGCTTCCCACATAACCAACATAGTTAAACACTGGTTGATGGTGGAGTTGGGGAACTAGTAGGTTACATTATTCATGTGTCTATATGATCCACTCTACTACTGCTCTTAATAGGTTTGAAAGTTGAACCAATAATTAACGTATGTCCGGAGGACATAGTTGCTATGAAGTTTTTGATCTATAAGAGAACTGAAAGAGCCAACAGGGCTTAAGAGCACAGTATCTTGTTTTCCTCTGCATAGATGGGAAAAACCCCTCAAACCCAGCCAACACCCCCCAGATTCCAGCGTTTGGAGGTGCAGGGAGGCAACCGTGCTCCCAGCCCCAGGGGAAGCCTCCCCTCGACCCCCTGCTAGCCGCCTGGCACCACCACCCCAACAGCCTTCCAAAAGCACTCTCAAAGTCCCGAAAGTTAAAACAAAGCACGATTTCCAGGGGTTCCCTTACCTGTATCCATTCTCGATCGTTTCCGTAGCTCTGACATTCGCTGTAACCCTCAACGTCTTGCTGGATAGTCCAACTACCGAAGGCAAGATTTTGTTTTTAAAGTCTGCACAGCTCCATTCCTCTTCTTCATTCAAGGTCGGGAGATAGCCACAGACAACTTTTAAGCTCCCCAGTCCGTTGCTGTTCATGTAAGCAGGATTCTCTCCTCCACTCCTTACATATTCGAGGTATATATCAGAAGTTAAAAACATCTGGTAAGCATTTTCCTCCATCACAGTCTGAATCTCAGTCTGTGCCTGATCAAACATGATAGAATCTATCTGCTGCTTCTTGATGCTATCCCTTATGTAGGTCTTGGTAGCAGGCTTGAGCTGCTTGGAGACGATGCTGTTGTTCTCGATGTACCTTTTGTATATAGCTTTGGCTACTCTTAAAGTTTTGGTATCCTTAAGGTCCATCTGCCTGAAGCCATTGCAGGCAAACCAGAAGTCTAAGGTATCCACACATTTTTCCCTTTCCAGGAAGGTCCGAAAAAGATAGGCACCATCTTGATCTCCCAACAAGGAATGCAAGGATTTGGTCCATCTGGCCAGAGGGGAGTCTGGAGATGCGCTGCCTTCCGGCTCCCCGAGTCCGTTCTCATTCCTCCGCGGGGCAGGAGGCACCGGCATGGCCTTGAAGCTTTGGCTTTTGGGGAGAAACGAGCTGGCGAGTTGCGGGCATGGTGCGTCTCCTTCCTCCCCGGGGACGGGGGGTCGGGGGGCGTCTTCCCTGAAGCTGCTGCTGGGGTCTGGGAGGTGGGTGAGGACCACCGCGCTGCAGGGGGGGGAAGAAAAAAGGAGTATTGATCTAATCAAAACCAGATCCTTCCAACATCAAAGACGGAAAGTAAACAGGCTTTTCAACTCTTCACATTCAAAAAAAAAAAAAAAAAAAAAAAAAAAAAAGGGGGGGGGGAAAAACAAGGGGAGGGG